TAGAACTAATCAAATTAACAAAATAACAATTTCGAACACAAATAATAAAATAATGGAAAATGCAAAATAACTAAGAACGAATATAATATTGTTAAAAAATATTATAACATAAACCAGTACATTTATTCAAAATAAATCACCCTAATCATCAGGAGAGATCTAATTAATAAAACAAACATAATTAGTTTTAAGAATGGCATCGCGATCCTCTACCTTAGACTTCACGAGGCTCACCAGAATTTTGCCTGATCTGACGGCCGACGTCCTTAATTTTTTTTTTAGCCACCCCACATGTTAAAGTAGGGCAAATGATTAGTACAAATATGTAATTAGAAGAATCAGCGCTGTATTTAGACGATCTTAAAATCTTGCGCTCTGTTAGCGTCTTTATTAAAGTTGGAAGAGGAGTTAGTGTTCAGATATTAGTAAAATTCAATTACCTTATTTTTAGATAAAAATTATTTGACTAATTTACTTTCTTAAATTTATTACGAGTTTAGGAGATCTATCAATTATAATCAACAAACATAATTTAACTATGGCTGTTTCAATTGGTTGGTTTCTTTCAATTCTTATTATAAAAGCCCACTTATTTTTTTATATAATCAAGGTGAGAGCAATAATATCATTTATTCCATTCATTAAAATAAAAATCTTCTATTATTAATCTTTTTTAAAATTTAAAATATAACATTCTAATTTTAATTTTATCTATATTTGTTACCAATATTCAGATGTTAAGTTCTTTCTCACTACGATTAAAAGTTGTAAGAGTTTTATAAATGTGTTTACTAAGAAGTATGAAAATATATTTTAAGTTTTGAATTTATTTACTTCTTATCTGTATTTAGATGTAAAATTTTATATTATTTACCAGTAAATGTAGGATGTATAAAAAAAATAATTTTATTTTCTATCTATTAATAAGATATTAAAAAATATACTAAATTTTATCCACATTTTTATTTAGAAGTAAAAGTTATTAATTATTTCTATCTATCAATAAATTTAATATAAACTGTTATAATTGGTGTTATTTTTTTTATTTTGTTATATATATTTTTTTCGTTTTTAACTTCATTATATTTTTATTACGCACAATAATATGACTTGATAACATCAGCGCGCTGGTTTGACTTTGGTTGACTTTGGATTGTAAGACTCAGGATGAGCCGTATTATTTTTATTTTAGAGAATTATTTTTTATTTATAAATTATAAGATATAAAAAGATCGTTTTTGAGGCAGAATATGTTTTTTTTTCTTTTTTATTTGAATTTAATAAAAATTATTCATAAAAATGGATATTCCAAAAGGGCACAAGCAATATAAATGATAAATAATCGCATTTTATACCCAACCCTTAGGAAGAAAAACATTTTCCCAACCCAACCAAACCAGATAATTAAGAAGAAAAAATTCCAACCCCACCCAACTCAATCCGAAAATAAATCTTACAATATCAGGAGCCAACAGATCCATGGATTGGGTTTTTATTTGGTCGGGTTTTACAGACCCCCATTTAAAGTCATTCTTTTTATAAAAGAGGGTAATTTATAAAATTTTACTATATTGGATCTTTTAGAATTAATAAAATATTTTAAGAAAATTACAACAAGTCTGATTTATCTATAAAAATTTAGATGCTTTTAAAAAAATCCCAAAATAATTATTGGACACTCTTTCTCGTCGGCTCTTTTAGTATTTATTACATGAAATTGAAATGGTATAAATATTTTATTTTTATGTAGAAAAAAGAGTCACTAAACTTACCTCGTCCATTTAAACGAGTTAAAAATATAATATATATTTATAATTTTTTTGTTCAACCATGAAATGAGGAATTTATAACTTTTTATTCCAATATATTGACATCTTTCTTATTTAATAAATGACTTAAACTATTATTAAACGCAAATTTTATTTTTCACCTTAATCCACAATCTTAAAAAAATGATTAACTACTCCTTACTAATAATATCTAAAGTATACAATTGAATAATTTATTATTAATTACCATAATTATCTTTATCCTTGTAGTATGTACTCTGTGAATGCCTACTCTAAGCTTAGATAAATTGCTTAAATAATTCATTAGTATTTTAAAAATCTTTAACAAAATTAAATAATGTTTATTTCTAAAATTTATAAGCCTGATTCGATTGATACATCATTTTTCATGCCTTTTACGTCGTTTTTATGCTTTATGTATGCGTAGATTTGCCTGAGTTTATAAATAACTTTATTTAATAAGAAGTATAAAAATATATTTCAAGTATTGAATTTATCTACTTCTTATCGGTGTTTAGATGTAAAATTTTATATTATTTACGAATAAATGTAGGATGTATAAATAAATAATTTTACTTCCTATCTATTAATAAGATATGATAAAATATATTATTTTAGCCACATTTTTATTTAGAAGTCAAAGTTATTTATTATTTCTATATATTGGATGTATAATAAATCATAAATTATCGCATTTTAGACCCAACCCATAAGAAGAAAAACATTTTCCCAAACCAACCAATCCCGAAAATTCAAAAAAAAAAATTCCGACTTCACCCAACATAACTCGAAAATGAAATTATCTACAAAATTTGGACATAGCAGATTCATGGATTGGGTTTCTATTTGGGTCTGGTTTAGCAAAACACCGTTTAAGAAAAATTATTTTAATAAAGGGAGCTGATTTATAAAGTTTTACTATATTAGACCAAATTTTAAAATCAATAAAATATCTAAAAGTTTAAAAAATTGCAACAATATTTAATTCAAAAAAATGAAACTAGTTATAAATCTAATTTATCAATATTGGTTGTCAAAAAAATAAATAAAACGCCAACATGAGAACTAATATTTATTAAAATATCAAACTATTAATTAGGCACTTGTAGCAGTCTAAATTTCTATTAAAATTATTCTATTAAATAGACACCATTTAATTCTTTTTTAAAATTTATTATATTTAAAATAAATTTATATAGACTTGAATAAGTAATTATATCAAGCTATGTAACACCGATTGTAAACCTTATAATTGTATTTTATAATGCTTTGAAATTTTTATATATTAACTTTAATTTTGTAAATAAATAAATAATTATATTTATAAGGCTGTCCCTTAAATATCAAAAATATAAATAAATACATTTATTAATTTTAGTAAAAAAAATAAATAAGCTAGTTTAATGTAATTTCCCAATTTATAAAAATTAGAAAAAAAAATAAAATTTAGCTTAAAATTTATAAAATGTGAAATTATTAGGAAATTAAAAGTAAGTAATAATAATTTATATCTTCCAAATTAGCTGACAGTATATAGTAACTAGGATTATTGACTCATATCAAGAATTTTGAATATTTTAATTTATAAAACTTTAAAAAAATTTTAATGGAAGATTTTAGTCATGTTATATAATTTTATCGATTTAGAAAACTTATAAATTTAGAGGTTTATTTTAATATATTTAGGACACAGCCTAAACAAAAGTTTAAATTTTTTTTATATCTAAAAATTGAATATTTGGGACCATATTGCTTAAATTTCGCGTTATTAATTTGCCCTTTAATAGATATTTCATTGATTTATATTTATTATTCCTGTTCCTTTTCCCCACTTCTATTTATTCAAATCTTGGATATATTTCCTCATTATTTTATCATATTATTTTTTATTCGTACAATTAGCCATATTATGCAAACTTATCCATTCGGTGGTATTAAGCCCAGTTCACACCTTTATTTTAGCCGATCTATAACATGACTATATTTCCTTCGTTTAATCTCCATCATATTTGATAAATTTCTTGTTATTTATTTATGTATCTTTTAATCAATTTTTTTTCGCTTCTGAATACATTTAGCTTTATTCATTTTTTCAAATATTTATCCGCGCCATACTTTGTGTCTTTTAGATTTTACTAATGTAGTGGATTTGTAATAAATCATTCAATTTCTTATAATCATATAAAAACCATAACCCTTATCTTTGTAGCATAGTTCCAAACTAATCGCTAACGCGGTATAAGAGCTTGGCACAAATCTAAGCCTAAAATTAGTTTATACTAAATGTAGTAGGTTTAGTAAATATTAAAATATAGCAATCCTAATTGCTATTATAATACACATACTTATTTTATGATAAAAATATATCAAGTTAGGGTAAACTCAGGTTAAATTTGCTAGCTTGCTATCTAATGCAATTAAAATTAAACTTAGCATAGATCAGTTCTCAACCTAAAATTTTGTACGAAGCCAGGATTGAACTTGGATCAAAATGTTAGGCTGATAGAATTACTAAAAGAAATATCATTTACCTTTAATAATTGTTATATATTCAAATTTGTAATCTTATTACAATCCAATTTATTCAAATTATATTTTTATTTTAGTTATAATTTTATTTTATTGTTAACCTTTTTAATATTATAGTCTAATTTTAATTTGTAAAAAATGTTATATATATACCTTACGAAAAGAGAAAGATATTAGTTAATAAAATATATTTTTTAAACTCTCCTAAAAAATTGTTTTCCTCTTCAATAATAGATCAAATGAGTTTTTGGCTTTAATCGCATAGTTCAGTAAAATTAAAAAGGCATGCAGCACAGCAGATATGAGGCTATATATCATGTATTAATAAATAATTATAAATATTAATAATTTTAATTATTAAATATATCTAATAATATTCCTAAATTTTAACTCTTATAATTATTATTAATATTTAGATTATAAATCTTAATTATATGGCATCTATATATAATACAAATTAAAAAATATTTTAAAAATATATTGATTCTAAAAAAAATAAAAACATTTTGCTGATCATCTCAATAATGATTAATATTCTTCAGTTTAGAATAACTTGATGATAATTATAAATAATCCTTAAATTAAACAAAAAATTTAAAAAAATATTTAAGCATATCTTAGAAAAAATCAACCTTTAAACTCGATTTTTATTTTTAATGACGATGATTGACTGAGAATTTCGAAACTTATCAGGTTAACACTTTTATCATTTGTTTATTTCAGCTATAACCAAATGTTGAAATTGAATCGATTGCTTAATATCCAATTTATAGATAACCTAAACTTTTGTTGTAGCTTATTTCATTCCAATAAACATACTAGCTTGCCATTTAATCTCACCAAAATACAATATGTAACTAAAACATTTAACTTTATAAAGATATAATTTGCAGAGATATATATCTGATCAAAACACAAATATTTCTCCAAAAAATTTACATCAAGTCAATTCAGTTGAAAAAAATTTAGATGATTTATATAAACAAGTGGTTATTCAATTACATGGGCATGATCCTGAAGTTATCAAAAGCTATATGCAATATATACTTATGACAACCTATGAATTAAACATTGATGTCATTGAAGTGTAATTTTTTTTAGAAATTTATATTATATTTATAGTTAATATATTTGTCTAAGTAGGATATTTAAAAAAGCTTTGAAATATTCTGAATATTGATTAATAATTTTAAATATATTTTAATTAAAAGATTTTTATTATAAATTTTACTTTTTTAAAGTTGAAATTTAGAATATTTTTCCACACCACATAGTAAAAATGAAAAGTTTATCATTTCTTTTGAATACTTCTAATATTAGAAAATATTGTATTTTCAATATGCGCAATTGGAACTATCAGCATATATGCAATATTTTGGTAAGGAACGCAACAACCTCAGGGTTGTTTTTTTTGCCAAATATTTTACTATGGCATGGGAGAGTAGGATGTGTGAAAATGCCTAGGTGAACTTTTTATTTGCTTAAAATAATTTAAAATTTAGTTCATAAGAAATTATGGGCTGGACTGGACAACTTGTTCAAAATATATTTTGTTGACCTGACCTAAAACCCTAATAAAAAATTTTACTGGGAGATTCAGGCTAGGTCTTTGCCAACCTCTATAACATGTAATTATATTTAATTATACATTTATGGAACACAGTAAAGGTTGGTGCAAAGCCTGGCTTGAACCAACCGATGACCAGTCCTTTAACTAGCCTGCTCCTTAAATGACATATGCATTAATTTTTATTTAAAAAAAAGGATAAATATGCTTTATTATAAAAGCATAATTCTGTAAAATATTTATCACATAGCTGGTCTGACCCAAAAATTTTTTTGTCCTGCTCATGGGTTGACTTCTAAAATGCAGTTTCTGATAGTAAATGATACAAGTAAAGGTCTAGACAATTTATCTTTGCATCCTTTTTAACTTTGATTTTTCATAGGAAGAAATCTCATCTCATAGATGTTTCCCCACTTAACTTATCAAAATATAATCTGATTTGTGATTATGCTAGCATTGTAAAAAAAAGGAAAATTTGAGATGGAATAGATTCTATGCTTTTTTGGTTAATTTATTTAAGACTCGGAAATGCAACAAAAATATTGTCCATATTAGAAGCTAATTGACCCTAATTATTATGAGTAAATTTTTTAGAAAAAAAAATACAGACTTGAAATCTTTATTTGATTGTAATACGGTAACTATAGATTGAGATATTTAGAATCATATCCTTTAAAAAACAACAATAATTTGCTGTTCCCTTCTTTCTCGTGAGATTAATCTTTTTTGACCCTAATTAAAATCATTTCTTATTATTTTTTTAAATTCTTATTTTTTTAAAAAATTATATTTTTGCTCCTCTATTAAATATTCTTATAAAACTTTAATACAGAGATGTAGTTTCCCATATTAACCAATACCAGTGATAACCAGTTTCCAAAATAATAATCGTTCTACATTATAGATAAGAAAGAAAGAAAGCACATAAAGGTAAAATATTAGGTCTCCACCATACTGTTTATTGAATGCCTAAATATCTTATTTTAAATAATAGCTATCATCAAACTCGATATTAATGATAAAGAATATAAGAAAAATACCACAAAGCTTCATTAAAATTCAATAGCATCTGTTGCTTAATTTTTTTTTAATAAAAAAGGTTGATACAGACCCCCATCCTAATTCGTCTTATTTCTAAATAGTCGCCTGTTTAGCCCTCTATATAGCTTCCTCTAAACAGTCTTAAAAGAAAAAAACTATTTTAGATTTATGTAACGGTTAACGGGCCCTTGATGTTTTATTAATAACAAAATTAATATAAATAACAAATAATATTTATTTAATGTACACACTTTTTAAAACAAATCAAAATTAGGTGTTCTAATTCAAAATCTGTTTTAGCCAGACTGACTAGAACACAACCATATTCTTCAAATTTTCTAATAAACTTTAAAAAAATTGATATGGTGCTGCATCTCTGCTTTAAATATTATTCATCTGAAATTTGATTCGATAAATATTAATACTTTTTTTGAAATGAATTAATTTTGATAAGGTTAATGAATATATTTAAAATAACCAAAAAATTTATAAATCGTAAATTTATAAAAATTATGAAACATGTCCTTATATTTTCATTTAAAATTTATAATCCCTACCAAATTATTTTTATACTTGTCCCTTTTATTTAAATACTTTTTATTTTGATTAATATAACTGCTATTTCTTATTATAATTTGAAAAATGTAATTAATGTTACTTACTTATTTTTTTGTAAAAATTTCACAACTTTATAAACTTTAAGCTTTTGTAAATTAGGAAAAAAATGGTTTAAAAGCCAATATTTTATTTTTACATTAAAAAATAGCTTATTTCTCTTTTTTCATTAAAGTTACTATATTTAATTAATTATAATTTTGATATTTTGGCCACCTCAATAGTCTTAATAAATAATACTATTATAGTAAATATTTATCATAAGATTTACAATTTTAAAACGATACTTTTGATTTTTTTTTATAAAATGAGTCCTAAATATAATATTTTTGAGTTATTTGTTATTTAAATGTTAATGTATTTGTCAAGAAAAAATGAGCCATTAATAACTTCTACTTCTAAAAAAAATTAGTTTTCATTATTTATTTTTCTAAATACTAATTTAACAGTTACGATTTGCTAAAAAAATATTTTTTTCTTTATTAACTAAACATTTTATATTTTATAAATAGGAAAGATTTGCCAAAAGAGATGCACAGAAGAACCTTACTAAAATCTGCATTCGTTCACAAAAAACATAGAGTTCAATATGAATGGAGAACTCATTATAAAAATATCACGGTAATGTAAGGAATTTGACAATAGCTCAACTAAATGAATGTTGAACTGTAGGAGATATTATAATTGGTTGTGAAGTAAGGAGTAGGATTAAAAAGTTATAGGTTAATGTTAAGATAATATTAAAAATTGTTTTTTAATAATAAAATTAAATATTTTTTTATAAATAACTTATCAAATCTGACAGATCATGTGATTGTAAATAGACGAATAGAAATTTAAATAATGGTTTGTAACGATAATTTCCTTTGGACCATTATGGAAATTTATAAATGTATTTGAATATTTAAAAAAAAAGCAGATGAGACATTTAACCGGTTCAACACTGAGCACCTTTTTAGAATACATAGAGCGTAATCTGCCAGAAGGTATTGCTATGAGGATTACAAAGGTAATTTTAAAAAAATCTATTCTAATATTCCAATCCGTTATATAGACACAATTATTAACTTTGCCAGAACATTTGAATAATGAAATTGTCAAGGACGAAAAACCTGATGGTGAAATAAAAAAACTTTTGTATAAAAACAAAATCCTCAAAGATGATTTCGAATTTCCTCCTCCCAAAAGCATTGAATTTGAACATTATTTTTGATATTTATTATAAATTCTTGTGTATAATAGAAATTTTTATAAAAAATCGAAATTTGCATTAAATATTGTACAGTTAATAAAAAAAATTATGATTCATATCTCCTTTCGATATCTTTGATAATAGAGTCGGCAAATGTGTTAATATTTAAAGGGGCCTCTAATTCAAGCACTTCTTTCACTATAGAAGATGGATCCTTTTCGCCCCCATGTTGTATTAAGGTATTAAATTTTTGCCCGGCTAGACTACCATACGGTTCTTGTTCAAAATATCTGGACCAAATATCTATAGCCACCCCTCTAGCTATTAAATAAGAATAATATTTGGCTCCGTACCCAACTAAATGATGAAATTTGAGATAGGGAGACACCCCAGGGACTGAGGCATAAGGGTCAAATTTCAGTTGAACATCGTTAATAATTTGTTCTTGCAATGATCGATCGTAGGAGTACGAATTAGAGTGTAGGGCTATGTCTAAAGTGGAATAATAGAGTTGGGATTGGTTTTCTAGGGCAAGAAAGTGGTTTTTGTGATCTAGATAAGCTTTCAATAAATCGTCAGGAGGAGAGCTGCGATCGGTCTTGTGCCTGCCAATTTTTTTAAGGACTCGAAAATCGCTGGCCATTATTTCCATCAAATTTGAAGGTATTTCCGCGAAATCTGTGGAGCATCTAGTGCCCGTGACATGCTGATACCGAGTTCGACCTAATATGGAATGAAAGGCGTGTCCCATTTCGTGAAATAGGTTTTCAAGTGACGAAGGAGTTAGATAACAATCATTAATGTTGGGCAAGTAATTTAAATTTAAGGATATTACTATGATGGGTGATTGGTAATGTTCATGGCCATCACTTTCGTTCCCGATATTTCTACCTCCTCTGACAGTAAAATGACAATCCAAGGAGGGTTTATTATTTCTAGCGAATAGATCCAAGTATACATAACCTAGAGCGGAAGGGTTTGCACCTTTATTAGGATAAAAGCCCAGTTTTAATATATTTGAGGCCCACAAGCTCTCGGTGTCTTGGTAATGCTCTAAACACATCTTTAAGCCGAACAATGAATCAATTATTTCATTTAGACCCTCCAAGACATTGCTAAGTGATAAATAATTGGATAGCTCATAATTATACTGAAGGATATTTTTTTTTGATTGCATTATTAAATATGAACCATCATACGGGTTTATTATATCATTTAAATTTTTCATCTTCAACAATTTCGTTTTATCTGTGCCTAAAAATGGCAGTAATTTATCATTGAAATATTCAAAAAAATGATTTAAGCAATTTAAAGAGCCTGCTAAGGTGTTATGAATCATTTTATCTGCATAAGAATTAAATCCAGAAACTTGGGCTAAATCATGGCGCACATTCAACATATTTTTCAAAAGATCCTCTTTGTGTATGTTTTGATGATTATAGAGTTTATACATTTGTTCACGATTTTTATCATTGTGTATATGCATATAATTACAGGGTACCATAAAACCATTATCACATGATTCAACATAATCGTTTAATTCTTTAGAACAATTTTTAACTATCACAGGCTCATTAAAAGCTTCCATCACTTTATTATTTGATATGATTTGCTTTTCATATAATTTAACAAAACGTCGCCTTTTATCATCACTCAGGTGTATGCCACTTTGTTCAAAATCAAATAAAAATAATTTACCAGTGGTAAAATCTACATCATCCATGGGAAAAGCTGCATCATTATTATCAACTACATTTTTTAAAGTTTTATAAAGGGTCACATTTGTATTTAATTTTTCAACATAATTGCTAACATTAAGATATGTTTTAAGGGCAGCCTGTGAATAAGAATTTTGAGGGTGGCAAGTACGAATAAATTCGGCTAAATCGGCAACTTGGCATAATGTATCTGACAGGTCATCAAATAGGGCTATTAACTTTTTCTTGTGGTTGTTAGATAAAATTTGATCTAATACATCATCACACTTATTTAATGCTCTTTTTTCCAATATTAGAAACCCATCGGGGTTATTTAGCTCTGATATGCCAAACAATCCAAGTGCCTTATTTGTTTTTACATTGAGTTTGTTAAAATCAAACACCGTGTAGTTAAATTTTCTTTTAAATATTTGATTATAACACGGGTAATATTTTTTATTCAAATAGAACTTTCCTAAACTCTTCATTGGTATCTAAAACATAAAATATAATTAAAAAATTGTGTAATTTTAAATAGACCTCCCCTATTTATCCTAATTCACTTTAATATTCCAATGTTGATTTATTTTTTTTATCTTAAAAAGTATTAAAATTTGGATAAACATTGGCGTCAGCATAGATGTAATGTAGGGAAAATTTCGCCGGAAAAATAGGGAAACTTACTTAATTTTTATGTCTTTTTTTGATAAATCACGATTTTTAAAGTTTACTCATTCATATTTCAAATTATTTACCCAGATTAAAGATACCCATAATATAAAAAATACTTAAAATTATTTTTTAGCAAAGTATATTAGCTTAATTAATTAAGGATTATAATGGTTACCTTGTTATATTTTGAAAAGTTATAAACATCATCATATCTTTCAAAATATTAAGGATATTATTTCCGATTTCAAGATTTCTTAAATTTAATTTTGAGATCACAAGCCGGAATTAAATTTTAGCTTTATCAATTTTTTAGTTTCAAAATTTTAATATTCTCGTTTATTTTATGAAATTGGAAGAGTATCATATCATAGCCCTAAATGCTGTTAATATATCTTATAATTCCAATATTCCTACTTCTACTCAATAGGATTCATGCGAATAAATATTAATTTCCAAAAAAATGGTACATTCAAAATAATTATTCAAAATCTCTAAATGGAATATATATAAATGAGGAGGTCGGATAAATTGTTTTCATAAGGGAAGGATTGATTCCTGTTAAAGATTTGATTTGGGGTCTCCTCAAAATAAGCTTAACAAAAGCAATTAAAATTAGATTCTAATTTCATTTATATATTAATAGTTGACCTATTTTCATGAAACCTAAAAAATTCAATATTTCATAGTATAATTTTTCTATTTGTTCATTCTCCTAATTTTAGTTTCCTGGAAATTTACATCCCTATTTAGCATACCTAAAAACCGAACGTGTTAGATAAGATAAGAAGATCATATTTAACAGAATAACTAAAATTATTGGATTATAGTGGGCACAAATTGAGCGTCTCAACGCTACATTACAAACGTATATAATGCATAAATGGTATAATGTAAATTGATAAAATCAATGCTTTATTTGCACCTATTTCAAAAACGCAACTGACTTTTTTCGTAATTTTTTTTATAATAGTTTAAATTTTTATTTGATAAGAAATGGATATTACTTTAAAATGTAAGAATTCATTCATCAATTATGGGATTTTTCTAACGTGAATTAATATATTTATATCTTTAGGGCATGAGATGACGCTAATTATTAAAAAATTTCTTAATTATATGGAATTAGATGAAATGATGGTATCAGGGACATCCAGATTATAAGAAGTCTTATGCAATATTGACCATTATTGAATATAGATATAAATGAGTGTGTTTACATCTATAAAAGTTAGAGGAAGAACTTCCACAATATGATACACCAAGTCAATATCTTTAACTTTTTTTTATAAAACCACTTATAAAATTAAGATGGGTAAATAATCTGGGTCTGAATGGCTAGAATATATATGATTTATAGAGTCTACAATTGGTGATAAGCCAACAACTAATATTTTTGATATTTGTGAGTGTATTTAAATTGTTAACAGATCCCAAAACCAAAAATAGAACAACAATTGTTGGATCTTATAAATAAGAAACCATTCCAAACTGGTAAAATTTATAGTAACCTTAAAAAGCTTATATTTTATCCATATTATTTCTAATGTCATTGGAAGATGGGTTATATAGATTTAGTATACCTCTTTAAATCAGAATAAAAAAAAATTTCTACTCATTATGATGGAAAATATAAATATTGTAGAACTGCCAATACAAAATGCTAATATTTAATAGCATAATTGTTGTTAACATATTTTTATTTGAAACTTTCTTGTATTTATATTTTTATTGGTCTTCTTGTATTTATATTTTAAAATTTACATTCTTAAATAAAGTTTTAATTTAATATTCATCTAAATAACTATGTTTTAAAATTTAGAAATCAAATGTACTCATTCCCAATCATTTCTTGAAGGTGCCAATATGTATATATATTATTAGGGAGGATTTCAAATTGCTCTGTATACTGATTTAATTAGGCAGAAGATATTTACCCACATTTGCCATCAAATTAGTAATTTAATTTTTTACTGTATTATAAAAAAAAATTATATATCATTTAAATTTTATATAAATATTTGTAATTATTTATTATTTTACATTAGTAAAGTGTTTTATAAAATTGTATATTAACCTGACTGGGACCCCAAAATATTAATTTTTTAGCTTGGCTATATACTTTTAAAATGTTATAAGTATTTAACAAATATATTTGTATAATAAGAATGAATTATTATTTTAAATTAGTAAAGTGCTCTATAAATTGTTAGAGTCCTACAAATTCAATATTTATCCATCTGACTGGGATCCCAAATATGTATTTTTTAGCTAAGCTGTATATTTTTAAAATGTTTTAATGCAAACTGTTCCTACCCCCCCTTCCCCCCCCCAACTTAGGAAAACACTGGATATAATATATAAATATATATTAATGTATTTAAAATAATCAAAAATCCAAAATAATAATTCATTTATTTGTTAGCTACTAAGGATGCACCAATATTATCGGATCGGATATGGCCGATATTTCAACTTTTTTAAAATATAGGTTATCGGTCAATATTATAAAATTTTCCGGTCCAATAAAATAGGATCTTAATTTATATTTGTTTATTATGTAAATAGATAAATATTTTTAGATTCATGAATATAAATTATAACTGATAATTATTATTAAATTTATAGGGCTCTGTCTACCCTTGAATATACAATTTTAGAAAGCACTTTAATACTGCTAATAATCCAAAATAATAATTCAATCTTATACAAATGTATTTGCTAAATACTTATAACATTTTAAAATATTAAAGCCAAGCTAAAAAGTACATATTTGGGGTCATAGCAAGATGGATAAATATTGAATTTGTAGGGCTTTATAAATATAAATGTATAAAGCACTTTATTAAAGTAAAATCATAAATCCAAAATAATAATTCACTCTTATTATACAAATGTATTTGTTAGATATTTATTATAACATTTTAAAAATATAGAGCTAAGCTAAAAAGAAATATTTAGGGTCCCATCAGGTGAATATAAAATTTTATATAGAGCTTACTTAAATTTTGGATTTTCTAGGCTTCAAATATATTGAAAGATATTATTCTTGGTTGAACTCAAATTTGTATCTAGAATATAAATAATAATTTTAAATATTTATATAAAAAGAGCTTACCTAAACTTTGGATTTCCTAGGGTTCAAATAAATTGAAAAACATTAATCCAGCAAATTTTTATCTAGGATATAAATAATTACAAATATTTATATAAAAATTAAAATGATATATAAATTTTTTTTATAATACATTAAAAAATTAATTTACTAATTTGATGCCAATAGGCCAAATATCCTTTGAGATTTAATTTACAGCACAGGATTTGGATATCCTTGAACAAAATGATAATTGTGATTATCTTATTAAATATCTTTTACATGAGAAAATAAAGGATAATTTAAAATATTTTTCCTTAAGGTGAGAAATAATCAGTCTTCTACATAAATTTGCTTACTATAGTGTGACTCTAGGTAATATTATATATCAGGTAAATAGGATAAAATTACTGTAACATACTCAGAGAATAAATGTCTTTAAACATATATCTGTGATGTTTTTCCTCTTTCTATATTCTTGTAATAATTATAATACCTACATCTTTTCTTGATCCATGATAATAAACTCTATTTTTTACATTTAAAAATGTGACCTCAATTTTTTTTTTAAAAAAAGTACAGCAAAATACAAACGCTTATATTGTGTGTACTATAATTCAGGAAAGCTATTAAAAAGGTGGAACTATAACCTCCCCTTGTATAATGAATAGAGTAAAATGAGAGTATATGAATGCTTTACTCTAGGGTTAATTAAATATGTAATTGAAAGATGGATAAAATATATTTACTAAATCAAAGTATCTAAAAAAGTAAAATATTACTTCACAACAGTGGGTTTAATTATATTTATCCAAGTATAAAATGAGTGACATTTTATATTTATTTTGAAGTATGTCATGTCATATTTACTTTCAATTACAATTACGAGGTAATTGTTTACTAATTAAATATTAATGCTAAAATTATTATTTGTTTAGAAATAAAATATTACATTATTCTTATAAGATTACGATTATAATACATATAAAATGCATATTCAATTTCATATATGTTTTAAGCAGGCGCGTACGCAGGAATTTGGTCTGGGGGGGGGGGGGGATAATATAATTTTTTAAGAAATATTATTGTTTTTTAAAAATATCAAACACAAATTTATTAGGACTAATAACTATTTCCAATACACAATTTTAAATTTGAATTATAAAAAAAATATATGTAAAGAATCACTTAAATGACCCAAAATAGAAATTTGATTTTTTTGAGCCTTTACACAAAAAGTTTCTTATGAATAATTGCATTCTATATGTTATATATTTACAATGTAAAATGTAAAATCAATCTTCGTTGGGATTGAGATAATTTTTCAATTATCTCATCCTTGCTTGTTGTCAAATGCCTATGAATATTCAAAAGATCCAAATCTTTCAATCTACTTTCAGATAGTTGTACTTCTTGGTATGTTTTTCAGAGACCTGCAGGCCCGGCCTCCGGGCTGGACAGTATTTTAATTTTTTTAAAAATCACCCGGGCCGGGCGCTGAATTTTAATTTAAAAAAACACCCAAGCCGGGCCTAAATTATTTTTAAAAAAGCACCCAGGCCAGGCCTGTATTTTTAAAAAAAGCCTATATTTAAAATCTTTATTATTAGCTATAAAAATCAAAAATAAATATAATTTATTTTAAAAAAATCCGGGCCTGGCCTGAATATTTTAAAAAATAACCCAGTCCGGGCTATAATAAATCTTTAAAAAAAATCTGGGCCGTGCCCTGCAAATGGTACTTCTGCAGGCCTCTGTTAATCTTCTTTAAAAAGAGAATGTTCTTTCATTAGTTTAATAATGGGAAGAGTTTATAAACCCTTTTAATACTTTGGGAATTTATTCTAAAATGTGTTTGAAATAATGCAGAGCATCCATAGCATTTTTTAGGACTATATCAACCATAGTTAATCTTATAAACATAGTTATTTAACTAGTAAGGCATCATAAGATACTTTAACATCTTCATAATAAAAATCTAACAAATATTTTTTTTTCTATCACCATCTCAAAAAGGTTTGGAAGGCTTTTGTGGAAGTAATATTTTCAGATTAGTAAGTGCTGCATGATGAAATAAAAATTCATTTATTTGGGTTATAAATGTATCTCTATCTAAGATATACTCTTCTACTGATCCTATATTCAGAGTTGTACGTTTGCTCAAAATCAAAAGATCTTCAAAGATCTAGATCTTTGAAGATCTTAAAATTTGAAGATCTTTTATTTTTAAAAATTTTGTGTAACGATCTTCAAAGATCTTCATGATATTTATTTTTTTACCCCTTTATTAAAAGCCCAGATGTTTTTCAATTTTATTAATATAATATTTCTTTTATTTTATACCTCTCCTCCTGCCTTGATGAAAATTGAAGAACATCTGGGCTTTTAATAAAGGGGTAAAAAAAATAAATATCATGAAGATCTTTGAAGATCGTTACACAAAATTTTTAAAAAATAAAAGATCTTCAAATTTTACGATCTTCAAAGATCTTGCTCAAATTTTTGAGCTAGATCTCGCTCAAAAATCTTCAAAGAAGATCTTTTGTACAACTCTGCCTATATTAATGTTTTAACTATTAGCTTGCCTTGCTACAAGTCGAGGGAGACAAATATTAAACACGTATAGCTCTGCTTTTGACTCAACAATAAAATATATAATATGAAATTCTTCATCAACATTAGCCCTAATTTCCTTGAGTTCTGATAAAATGCTCTCCGCTATTCTCATCTTCTTAATCAAGTCAATGTCATGTTTTTGAAAGGTAATACTTAAAATAGTTGTATAATTAAATAATACATTCTAATGAGAAATAAAATTTGGAATAAGCATTGAATCCAATAATTTTCTTGCTGAGGAAATATTTCTTTCAGGCCCTTGTGATATTTCAGTAATAGCAAATAATTGGCTCTTCTAACTCCTTAAAAGCTGTTACTGCTTGATGGCAGAGACTCTATCTCGTTGGACAAGGTTGCAATTTCTTTTTCCCTGTTGGACAAGAAGTTTCAGAAATAATAATTATTTGACTAGAAATTTGAAAATGGTAGATAAATATTACGCCACTAAAAATTTGAAAATAATAAGTAAATATTACGCTGGAAAACTTGAAATCTAAATTAATTGATAAAATAACTTAGTAGATAAATGTGATAATAAATGTAATTAAATATATATTTAATATGAGATACGAATAAATATTAACAAATATAAATTAATATAAACAATAATATTTTTGAAAAATATATCCGGCATCTGCATTTTTTGGCTTTGGGGGTGGGAGATTTGCCCCCCCCCCCCGCTGCGTACGTTAATGGTTTTAAGAAGAAAGGAATAATTTTATGATCAAATGAAACCATTTTTTTTTAAAGTTGATTACACTTGAAACGCGAGTAGATTTTAAGATAATTTCCGAGTTCTGATGATTTGTCAGGTGATAAGTTACCTTATAATGTCGAATTTTGTTATAGAAATCTTGATAGAATAAAGTACTCTTTGAGAGCAAAAAATCCTTAGCAGGTTTTTTCCATGTGTAATTGCACTTTAAATTCTCTGACTAATATCAAAACATTGTTTTTTTATTTTAGCTACCTTACCAATTAGCTGCACTAATAAAAGGTCCTTTTCAACTTTGAAAAGGTTAAAAAGCTATTTAAGAAATAGCACCGATTAAAACCGTTTAATTTATTAGCCTATTAAATATATGAAAATTATTCTAGATAAAAATTTGAATTTAAATAATTAACCAAATCTCAGAGAAAAGTAGATTTCTCTTAATTCAAATCATAAAATTGCAATATGATTTAATATGCTCTTAGTCATAAAATTTTTATATGCAAAACTTAATTATAATAAATTCTTAGTCATATATTCATATATTTTTTATATTATACTATTTTTAATAAATATTGCATTTGCAATTAGAGTTATTTATATTTTAATATTATAATCATTTGTATTAATTATAAGTTAAATTATAATATTTTTAAATAACGTTATGTGCAACAAGAATTACTTATATTATTTTTATCAGTTATTTACAATTATAAAATTTATATATTTTTTAATTTATTATATTATATATTAGCATTAAAATAAATACATAGTTAAATAAAGGGATGTTATTAATAGTATTTTAATAATAATTAAAATCTATAATGAAATTATCTGTAAAATTTTGTTATATGCAAAAATTAAATTAAATAATTATTTTTTTCATAGAATAAGATATATTGAGTGTTCATAAAGAATGGGAGGTTTAGGGGCGATTTTCTTCTTCTTTCTACACCGAATGGATTGAATTAATTTACAATTGAACACTAAACATTGATAAATTTTCAGAATCTTGTTTAATATTTTTCCATTTATGCTTGCTACTTAAGTGGTTAGACACTAATAAAGCACAAAATATTGGTAAATTTTCGAATTAGTATTTCCAATAGTTCAGCAAACTTTAACAAAGATGATATAAAAATAACTACTGAAAAATTAATATTATATATTATTTTTTCGGGACCCGGCAGAAGACCGGAGGAAAGGAAAACCCACCCCTATGGATAAATCCTGGCTATACCATTGATAACATATAATAATTCTTAGACATTTAGAGTAGTAATAAAAATCAGCTGGGGCACGCTTTTGTTATTCTAACTTCTAAAAAGGTTTGTGAACAGATTTAAAATACTAAGTGCTTTGAAGATTAATAACATTAAATTATTGATAACATTCGTCATTTTAAGATATTTTTGTATCTTGGACAAACCTAATTGGCAAATAGAAATAATCTGATATATTCTTAATTTTTATATTTTTGATGTATAGATTTAATTATCGATTCTTTATTCCAGGAATTATTAATGATTATTTTTTTTACATAGTCCCAAGAATTTATATTATTTATGATTTTATTTTTTCTCTCGTTCCAAGAATTTATTTTTTAGGAATTGAAAATATTGTAAATACAAAAAAATTATTATCAATATGTAGAATTAGTATGTAAAATTATATTAAGTTTCTGGGTATCCCAAAGTTTACGTTTAGAACAGGCCCATTCCGCCGACATGGGCAAGCGGAATAGCCGCCTCAGGCAATCTAAATTTGACAGGGCCGCCATATGTTGCCTCTTGTTTGATTTTATGGAAAAAAATGAAAATTTATTTAATATTTAATGAGATTAACCTTATGAATAAAATCAAAAGAAAAGTTGACCATATTTAGCCAAAACCCAGATTAAAGATCTAGTCGAAATATAGTTCACTATAATGGAAAAATTGCATATACTTTATGCCAAAATCGATTTTTTTTATAAATTATTAAATCATTTTATGATTTTTTTAAAATAATAAGGTTTGACATGTCTAGCTATTTCTTGTTAAAACAAGAAATTCGATTAATTTTTTAATTATTGAAATTTTCTTTTTTCTTAATATAAAAAATTTTTAAAGAGTGTTTTAATTAAGAATAATTTATTCAAGATACACGGTGAAATTATAGGTTAAACATATAATATAATTATAAAAATTACTTGGAACTATATTTTATAAATTTTATAAGTTATGAGGCACTCTTTTATGATTATTTTTCCTTTAAAATTGAAAAATATTTAGACCATAAATTTGATTTAATATATAAACTTTATGTGTGGGTATACTTTAAATTGCCCTCATCTAAATTGAATTATTTTAATTAAGCTTTAAATTAGACTATTTTATATTAATTTATATTATATACTAGTTTCAGACCCTTTAAAAATAAAAAATTAGATTAATAAAAAAAAATACTGTTTTAGTTAAGTGAATTGTTAGAACGTGCCCTACAATACTATTTTTTATCACATAAGCTATAAAGAGTTTGAAAAATAGGAAGAGTAAAAGAATTTGATTTAAGTGCTGGAAACAAAAAAGAAAGAAGCACAATTTAACAATTTTAAAAAGGGAGTTCTTTTAAAATATTTTAAAAAAGGTAAATCATGAGCCTCATATGAAATGTGTGAAATAATCAATGCTGGGGTGGCAGTAATGTTAACATAACCTCCCTTTGAGAATCTATCGTAAAAGATTGATAATGGACAAATTAATATGATTAAATTATTTTACGTATAACTCGATCAAGCGAAGATTTGCAAAAACATTTTTAGCTGTTACAACTTCTCGAGGATATTGGCGTTTTGTTCGATATACCTACATCGGTAAAATGCACCTGAAAGAGTAATTGCAATCAATTATATATTTTATTAACGAATAAAGATTCTTTGGAAAAAGTGATATTGTAAAATTTTGATAAATTATTGTTTAAGCAGACCATAAAAGGTCCTTTAAGAAAATGTTGCGCTATATTTACAGTAGTGGGCTAAATGAAGCCCTGCAAAATATATCGATAATTTTGAGAATTCTTCTAATTTATTCCAATTGCCGTTCGCGTCGGCTGGACACAGCTTCTTAAGTTAAAACTAATTAAGACTTACTCAAGTATTGGCGCTAGGGTGCCCTGTAAACCTATCCCATTTCAATCTAAAATTGCATTGTCGTTAGATTGTACTGATATCCTCTCGCAAATAAAAAGGCGAGGAGGATAAATGTTTAAACTAATATTTTTAATGATTATGATTATATACACGGTATATGCAATATATTAATTTTTTAAATATACGTTACTTATATTTATGAGGAAAACTAAATAAGTACCATATAGTTTTTGTCAGAATAAAAAAAAAATTCAAATAAGCTTAGATAAATTGTGGTTTTTTAAGCCGCCGAATCAGTTTCTGCCCTGGGCCCCCAAGGGTCGGCACGGGCACTGGATTAGAAAATATATAACGTCATTTAATTTGACGTTAATGATGCCTAAATGGTTTGCTAAATTTCAGATGATATATTATGAATTGTAATTTATTTTGGATTTCATATATACATATTTCATTATAAATAATTAATAATACAATATATAAAATTTGTTAAAAAGTATATATATATATTTTTTTTTAAATATCATTTAAATTTAAAGTTATTTTTAGCGGCTAACGCCGCGCCATAGGCTGCATCAAATGAATTATCAAAAATCTCGAGATCCATATCGTACAATCTTTTAACCTGTATATATTATAAATATAAATATTTTTTTAAAAAAAGGAATTAAAATATTTACGAAATGTTTCAATATCTTGTTTTTGGTCAAAGCATTGCCCATACCAATTAGTCCTGTAATACCATTCGAAATAAGAAATTTTTTAGGCATCATTCGAATGATATTTTGAACCAGTCCTTTGCATAAGGCCGTGTATACTAAATCTTTGTATTTAATAAAACAAACAATGTAAGAATTTAGTAGGCCTAATATTAAAATTGTATTTAAAAATCTCTCCATGGGCCGGCATTAATTTGTGTTAAAGAATTTAATTGGAAAAAATTGGCTTGATAAAAAATGGTGGTTACATGTGCGCAAGGTTAAATTGGAAGTGAAAAATAGTCAGTTATGACATTACATTTAAAAAGAAAAAACCGAGAGGTAACTATTAATTAAAAAGGATTAGGGTATAAAATTCCTTAATTTATATTATGGAATGTATCTTTTGTATGATAAGGATTAAAATTGTGAAAGGACCATTGACTGTTTCAATGACAATAAGTATTTAATATATACGTTAAGGGCAATGTGTTACTTTTCCAACTTTAAATAAATTTTTAAGCGCGTTTGTCTAAATATAAAAATCTGATTTTACCGGATGTATTCCATGTTTGGAATACCTACCATACCTACCTACCCTATGAATTTCAGACAATTTTGCTATGAACCTTTTAGCTTAATATAATTTATTAATTTTAAAATAGATTTTTCGTATAAATTATAAATGACTCAAAGATCAACGACAAAATTACCTATAATTGATAAGATAGGTATTCTAAACATGATAGAATAAATTTCCGGCAAAATCAAATTTTCTTAATTTAAAAAAAGCATACAAAAAATGATTTGAAGTTGCATTGGGGTAAAACACAATGTCGCTAATATATATAATTATCATAAAAGTATATTAATTATTACCTATTTTAATATTCGAGGATGTTATTTTTGTTATAAACGAGGTCATATCTGCTGAATCGTGCCTTTCCCCGAAAATGATAGGATTTATGTCTAATAAATTATCATAAACAGATGTGGTATCCTCAGCATTAACCCTTTCCAAGGATTCCCATATAACATTAGAAGTAATATTTGACCCTTAAAATCAAATATGATTTTAAAATAAATATTATTCTCAGTGCGATAAAAGTTATTTAAAAATGTTACGCCGTCACTTTAAATTTAATGTCCGCAAAAAGGAACGCCATTAACATACTCGTTACTTTTTATAAAAAAAACGTGCATGTCAATAGATTTTACTATTTATTATTTCCAGTTTGATTAAGGTTTAACACTTAACACAGCAAACACTGTGTTAAATATATGTACAACCTGTGTAAATGATGAAACTTGGTATTTTTTAAAAATATATTTAATGTCTAATTTAAGTTATCTGAGAAAAGTTTGTTGGGCTATAAAATTTGTGTTTATATCATTGTGCTATTATTTTGCCATGCTCAAATAAAAATCTTCAAATATTTTGATCTCTGAAGATAAAAATTTTTTCTTAAATGCTCAAGTAGCATTTTTTATCAAATTTTGTCCAAATTTCCAAATCCTTCTTGTAAAAAATATTGTTATAAGTTAATCTTTTGTAACTTATATGCAAAAAAACCTTCAATTTGGTTGATCTTTTTTGGGAAAAAAAATTAGAAATAGATTATTGTTAAACACTGGATCATTCCGTAAACTATGTATAAATATTTTTGATAATAATATAAAATATTGTGTTAACCAAAGAATGACAACCAGTTTTGTAACATTTCAATAAAAAGAGAAATTATGTTTCCTCCATTCAATGAGGCTGCAATGGCAAGATATCTACTATCAAAAAATGGCACAAATTCTATTGGAGGTATCAGATCTTTTATGTTATGTCTTTCGTGAATATATGGTGGTATAAAATCAGATGGCATAGTCAAGGCTATTTGAGTTGAAGTACCCATATTAAATACTAAGAATATATTTTTTTTAAACATTTTAATATAAAAGTACCAGCTTTATTATTGTGAGTAAAATTGGCATATATTGAACATTGAAGATCACCTAAAGTTATATAAATAGGAATTCCAATTTTAATATCATAAAAATGAGTTGTTAAATAGCCAGCAATATAACTAGGATCTTGAATATCTGGTAAAAGTTTAATAGGAAAATTGGTTTTATTTAAACTTAATTAAATTAATAGATGTTTAATATTCACTTACATGTCAATATTCCAGTTTTTACTTATAGCATCAAAATATCCCCAACTCATAGCATTATGATATGATATAATGCTTTTTGATAATTTACATAAATAAAACACAATAAAATCCCCAATTGTTCCTGATTGCTCATAACTTTGAAGCTCTAATTTTTGAGTTTGAAGCCAAAATAATGTTGCACAGCCATACCCTGAAAATACCTTAGTCTGTGAAAATGGTGTTGGAATATATTTAAGTATAGATTCTGATCTTTGGTCTTCCCATGTATAAAGAAAAGAACAATAATTATTTATATCAGTTGATAAAATATCAATATTATTTATATCATTTTTCCATAAAATGACCCCATGCATCTGACAACATAAGGATATTGAGCTTATATCACATATGAGATTTTTTGGAATGGATATCATACATTGATGAATGCCATCTATAATCGACCTAGGATTCTTTTCATATTTATTGGGAGAAAGAAAATAATTAACATATTGATAAGATTTTGCATATATAACGGTAGTTGAGGATGAAGATAATACATTTATTTTAATATTAGTCGTACCTATGTCAATTCCTAAAAACATATGATTTCATGGATTGATGAATATAAAATTTCATTACTAAATTTTAGCCGCCTATGAAGTGTACTAAAAATCAGGGACTGACTGGCCATAAGACCAAGTTATCATTTTTACATGATGTAGTAAAATTTAGATATATTTTATGTATTTTTCAAAAAAATTCTTGTCCGTTTAAATGAAAGACAAGTTTGATTAAGTTATTAATGCTGTTATAGTTATAATTAGGAATTTAATATTATAAAAAGGATATAGGTAGCAAACGATTAGTCTGCAAATATATAATCCAAGACAGCAGTTGATCTTGGCGAAAATAATTCACCTGCTAAAGGAGATTGGGATGGTACGTGAAAAAGACTTAAGATAGTTATATGATTAAAAAAGCTTAATCCCGATATTTACAAGGCGAAAAAAACCTTATCAGTAGATAAATCTTAAATGAGAATAAGAGAAAATTTAAAAAGTTAAATCCGCTTTGATTTTTTTGAAATAATTAGGCTTTCATTATATCTTCAAGTTAAAATTTTTTAATTTATGAGCTGGAAAAAGATTAAAGATGCCCAAGTCTACTCTATTTTTTTTATATTCACCTCTATTAGAAAAAAAGCTATAAAAATGACAAATTTAAATTAAAATCTTCCTGATTTAAAGCTGCTAGATAACATCTATACAAAATGAAATGCTAAAACTCGAATCTAACAAGGAGGATATATAGTAATGAATGCAATGGAACGCTAGAAAATTCGATTAATCTCTTTATTTTTAAGGTATTACGTTATACGATAAATCAAATAAATAGTTAACAACCATTAAATTTTCCGTGAATAAAGAGCATATAACGAATGTGCAATATTTGTAAATTTTTTCCTATGTCCAAATTTTTGAATTTTACAATTAGAAAATGTATTAAGTAATAAATTACGATAAGAATTATCTTCATCTGCCCGTATTTATAAAGTTTTATTAGTCTGAAAATATTTATGATAAAATTTTTGATAGTGAGGAGTCTAATAAACATTGATTTACTACATAGTAATAGTAACTCATTTTTAATAGGTATCTATTAGATTCTTTGATGCTATGATATGCACACAACCAGAGTTAGACACGCTACTAAATAAAGGTTATGGTGACCATTATGAAATATAATAGCTAAGTTACCATCGTCTCTTCAAAAAAGGCTAACAGCTGTGTTATCTTTATTTAAAACATATAACAGTGACAAAAAAGTTTTTAGTTACATCATTAAAAATAAGAATAAAAGAAAAAAATGCTATTTGAATTTTATTGATTCATTTTTCTCACTCTAAAATTAAAAGTACTTTAATAAAGAAACAAAACTAATTTATTAATATTTTATTCGCTAATTTATAAAAATCAAATTTTATCATTTTAAAGCATTCATTTGATCAAACAAAATATTTTCGTCTTCCATCGATCTTTCAAATTTGCAAATCAAAAGGGCTATACGGATTGGTAAATATGTATTGTATTAAATAAATATTTATTTTATCAGATATTACATATCAGTGCTGTATATTTCTTTCAAATGATGGATTGAGATATAGGATTCTTTTAATTTATCTTTGTACTACAAACTGTAGAAATAAAAAAAGTTATTTTTATCGATTCTATCTAAAGTGATAATCTTTTTAAATGAAACTTTAAATAATCTATTTTCAAAATCGAACAAAATTTATTTTTACCAAAATACTATCGTCGTCCTCCTATATACTAAAATTATTACTTTTTCATTGGCTGTCATTGTTTTAAAAAATAAAAACGCTATATAACTAAATCCCACAGATGAAAAGATTTGAAATTGAAGAAATCCAGTGGGCAGTCATATTGAATTCTCTTGTTTTCCGTTAACCTATTCCATTTTAAAGTTTAAATATATTTTTATAAAAAATATATTTTTAATTAAAAAAAACCACTTTAGTTTAAAAAATGTTTTAAAGTACGAAAAATAAACGTGATTTTAAATTACACCAATAAATATAATAAGCTCTTCTTTATATTTTTTAAATGGGCGATATGTTATATGTAACGTAACCCTATTTCTAACTTACTGCCTAACTCTGCACATATGCTAACACATTAATAAATTGTGAAAGAACATCTAGTAAATTTAAAATTATAAAATATGAGCTGAGGGGAAATATGGGACACGATTAATTGGAGATAATTTTATTGATGCCCTTTCAAAAAGTGTTGATGCACATATAACTCGAATATATATTCATTTCGCCAAAGTTGAGAGTTAATGCGAGATTTATTAGCTTGAAAAAATTATAATATTCGTTTAATTTATAATTTTATTTGGGAAACTATATTTGCAATATGCCGGATTTTGTATGTATAAAATAAGCCTTATACTCGTTGCAATATGATGTAGCTTAGTGTTGTTAAATTCCTAACTTTGATCATCTCTATTGTGGCTTAATCCAGCTTTAAGCCTAAAAAATTGAATCAAGCTTCTAAGTTGAGTCTCAACTTGAAGATTGACTTGAATATTTTTGCATAAATATATAGCTACGGTGTTTTACAATTGACTAAAGATATAGTTTAACAACACTAATGTAGCTTGTAGATTTTATAGTGCAATATGTAATACTTTTATATGTTCAAGTAGTATGATTTTATATGTGCAATTCTTAAAATAAAATATTGGATTATAATTTAATATGAGTCTTTTTGAAACAGTAATATTTGTTTAACCTATCGTTTTAGACATCTTTATCCAAAAATATAAGAAATTATAAAAACATGTATAATACGAATAAGCCATTGAAGGGGTCCCGATAGAAGACCGTAAAGGCGGACCGAAGGCCCGTAAATAGGGCATGGAGGCGAAGCCCCTACAAGGCCACATTATTGCTAGTCCGCCCTTGCTGAAAATCACCATTTAAAGTAAACCGATGAAAAGCCGATTTACAGCTTCAACCCATCTTAGGAAAATTGCACACAATATTAAAAGAGTAAGTATCTTAAGCTTTTATATATTTTTACAAGTGTTAATTATACAAAACAACAATAACATCAAATTAAAGTTGTTAAAAAGCCCGATTCTGGTCGATATTTGAAACGACCCGATTAAGATTTTAGATAATATTATGTGAGCCGATCATAGATAGTAGAAAGGTTTGGACCTACATTTTCCATTTCTTGAGACATACACTTAGTAAAATTTTGGGTAAAATCTTATCTCGAATTGAGCTCTTATCAAATAAATCTTTACCTACTAGTGTTGTTAAATGACCAGCATTGGTCGGGCATATATAACGCGCGTAGACTGTGCTAAATATAGATATATTCTATATTTAATTGTAATTTTTAAAAAAAATTTGAAGATGCCAAATTGAGATCAACATCAATGAACGTTGCCCGTTAAACATTTAGATATAAAGAAATAAGTTCATTTGATTTTGTTTTATTAAAGATCTTTGTTTAAATTTATTATTATTTATTATCATGTGATTATTTTGTTTGTCCCTTTTTTCCACTTATCAATAGAATTTTTTTAAAAACAAGGAATATTTTTAAATTATATAATATTCTAATTTAACTATAAAATAATTTTCATATAAATTATAAGTAAATATAAATTTAATGAATTGAATTCTATTCGCAAAATTTATTATAAGCTATAAAAAATATCGTTTAAATTTGGGCATTTAAAAAATAAAAAGTGGCGGAGGAGGGAGGAGGGGGGGGGGTAAAACATTTTTTGGATATATTTATTAACAAAGTTTATTAAAATTAAGTAAATTTTCATTAATCATAATAAATAATATTTAAAATGTGCCGAGAATAAATGATACATTATAATATCTATCCAAATAATGAGGCCGATCTCTATAGTCAAAATTAAGACTGATATGATGAAATCGCGAGATAATTTGTTACACAAACAGATGTATTATATATTCCAAATTGAGGCATTCTGTTGATTTTGTTCGGTAGCTTCCAACTTTTTACCAGCACCAATTTTTATGAAGTTGTTGTTTTGGGCCATTATTATAATTTTAGAACTTTCCTTGAATATTATAAAAAAAGTGTGAGGTCTGCCATCTTTAATTTTAGATTTTGGCAAAGCCATAATTTGCTGAGATTCATCTTGTAGAGTCCAGTATAAACCGTTTTTCGCTAGAATTAAGTTGACAAATATTTTTTAGATTTTGCTCTACGTCTTACCCTGCATTCACAGTGAGAAATCGCGGCGAAGTATACAAAAATACATTTTATATAATTCGCCATGAATTCGCGCTAACTGTGAATGCAGGTTCAAGCCTATTTATTTCAACCTTTTCCTTTTCGTAAGCTCCATTTGTCTTTTATGTAACGGCCCTTAGCTGAAAATAAAGTTGCCCTAGGGACTGTTACATTATATTGTGCACGAAGCAAGTGTTTGTATTTTGCAGTACTTTTTAAATAAAATAAAACCTAACGCATCTCTTGATTGAAGCGGGATTTTAAATTTTTTATAAAAAAAAAATGTTTGCTTAAAAAAATGATAGTCCTAAATTATAAAAGTATTGAAGTTTTTCAAAATGGTTTCAAGTGCCAAACGGTAATTTGACCAATTTACATGATACCATATTAAATGCATCATTTGCGTTTGTAACTCAGCGTTTGAAACGCTCAATTTGGGCGCCCAATAAAAGAAGAAGAGAGCTAACGAAAAGTAAAAAAGCTTTGGATTGATATTATACTTAAAAAACTGTCAAAAAAATTCATAAAATTCAAAGTTATTTATACTTTTAAAATGATAGGATTCGTGAGTTAATTGTTCGATGAATGTTTCTTCGTATAAAATTTTCGTAGTGTCTAAATGACCTTCGATGGCCTTACCTTCTCCTACGTAACCCTCTGTTCCTTGTAAAACTAAGAAGGGTCTATTGACAAGATACAATTTAAACTTTTCCCGCTCTCCTGAATTTAAACGAATAAATTTAAAAATATATATATATATTACATTTTATATCGTTAAGAATATAAATATACCTATATCATTGGCTGTAGCAAACAGCTGTTTATTAATCTTTAAGGTGAGATATTTGTTGTTGCTGATTGATTTAATGCCTAGTTGTTTATTCGGCAACCAGGTGATGTCGAATTTATCCTTGTCGGAGTTTCTTTATATTATATTAATAATAACGTATTTTCAAAAAATCTTCTTCTAAGCCTTTAACTATTTTGTTAAAATTAAGATATTTTTGTCCGATGACTTACTAGGCCTATTTTCCCTCCCATTAGGGGAGATAACCGAGTGACAATCCGAAAAGAAATAGTAACCAAAATGAATTATTCGAATGATTTAAATAATGGACTAATTACTTGAATATTGGGAAAATTATTTGAATAATTCATTTATTCAAATATTCGACGACATATTTGAATAATTTATTTATTCGACGACATATTTGAATAATTTATTTATTCGACAAATTATTTGAATGTTTTGATAACCCATTAATCTGACAGGTGATTTCTGATTAACTCAACTGCTTGTGAAAAGTTTTCGGTAGTTGGAACTAATTTGTTGTCAAAAAATCCCATGTCCTCAAGAAATGATAAGAAAAGCTCTTAACCTTAAAAATTGGCTCAGCATTAATTAAACTAACATTGCTTTTTAATTTCATTAATAACTTGTTTGCACGTTCTTTATCATTAGATTATGATAATTTTTTTTGTCACTTTAAAATTAGAAAAAATTAAAAGAATACTGTCAATATATTTACGCATGAATTATTTTATCAAACTTTTAAAAATAAAAAATTATTCTAATACAAACAGGAAATTTTATTATTCGTACAGATACAAATAGTAAACAAATCGAATAAGAATAATTCACTATTCAATTTATTTGTTGTGCGGATGTCGATTTATCATCACACCCCGTGTTCCGGGTTAGATTTTAGAGCACATGGGTTAAATAGACAAACACATATTGAAACCAAGAAAAACATAAATCTTGAATTTAATTTAAATTTGACAATTTAGGTAGGTATAAATCTAAACAATATAGGCAGGAGTCATAATTGAAACGATTCGCGTATGACCATTTCAAACACCTACATTGTATCCATTCTTCTCCTCTTTGTGTTTCTTTTTGAAATTTTAGCTGCAAACTACGCAAAAAACATTCATATTTTTCCTATTCTTTTCTTTTCTTTTCTTATTTTATTTTAATTAATATTTTTGGAGACGAAGTTCTTATTAGAGGTTTGCGATGGGCAGATTTTAACCTGTCCGCCCATTGCAGACCTCTAATTCTTATCTCAGCCCTTTTTTGTTTACCAATTCACCACTCCTAACCCCGGTAATAACTGTCGTCTTTATATCGCTTTCGCGGTTTTTCTATAAGAGCTAAAAATCTATTAACAAGTTTAATCGTATATATTATAAATTTAGTTAATTATTTTTAGTTAAAAGCAAAAAAAAATTCATTTTTAGAAATGAGGCGAAAATAATAATTTTAAACAATAACCACTAAAAAATGGCTTCCCCAATTTTTGAAATCAATCATTAACAAGACAAAAAAAAATTTTTTTAGCAAATTTTTAGATACGTAACTCTTAGGAGTTAAATGTTATAGGTGTTTTTCTTCTCACCCTGTTTGCCACCCATCACCTGTCTCCCCCACCTGACATATTATACTATATCTTTCTAAAGTTAGCTAGCACCGTAAAGCTGTTTAATATCAAAAAGCCATTTATCTAAATCTATAACTTCAACTCACTAGATCATAATTATTACAGAACTTAAATTTAGATGCTATTTTTTTTTATCACAAAAATAACATATATCACTGTTTTATTTAAAAAAAATAAAATAATACAATGTATAAAATATAAAATGTAATTTATATACTTGTCATCCATAAACATGCTTTTTATCTTCGATGTTAACGACCTAAAAACCCATGTGTATATATTGCTATGTAATATTATTACAAAGGAACAATTACACCTATAAATTATATTTTCAATTTCAACGATTTTGTTGATAACAGAGTTCTCTGACTCTAAATGAATATCAGAGATTTGCAGAGGTCAAATTTTTTTAAGCCCGAATTTGATAATAACATTTCCCCCCTTTTCAAACTAATCTTGGATTTTATTTTTTTAAAAAATAATATTATTTTTGGTCCAATCTGAGTTATTTATTTTTACAGGCCTAATTTTTAAAATTTGGATATTATTTATTAAACAATTTTGATTACATTTTATAAATGGTTTCAAAGGAAAATTAAAATTTATTTCATCATCTTCAAAATAAAATAAAAGCATTAATAATTATTATATTATTAGAATATATGGTGCTTTTATTTTTGAAATACCCAAAATTTAAAAATAAACCAGGTATAACTGAACAAAAAAAAATTCCTCCCCAAGAAAATTCCTATCAATTTTTATTAGAAAATAATTTGATAAATTTAAAGAACCAAGCCCAAATTATTAAGGGCCAATCCAAATAGAGATTACAATAAGGATTCATACGTATTATCATCGACACATTTAACACAGGCATTGTCCCCTACGCTCCAGTACTTATCCGAAACTGTCTTGAAACGCCAAAATTTACCAGTTGAATCGTTTTCCAATTGAAAAGTTTCTAATTCTGACATTTCATCTTGATTGACTACTATATCTATGCCTTTAAGAAGAGAAATATTTTATATATGAATGAATTAATTTAAAGTTATATGTGTCCTATTCCTAGGCTACCTTACTTGTTGTTAACACCAATTATTAAATTTCTAACGAAATCAAATGTAAATTCTAATTGTTCCACAGGGAAGACCTGTACAATACAATTAAAGACACTAGAATATTTAAATTTTGTCCTAATATTATAGCCTATATTTAAAATTTGAGAAAACTAGCATTCCTTTTACTAAGTTATTGTTAGTTACAGTGGGGATTGTTAAACCAGGACAAGTCAAACTTTTTCTCCGTCGTCGTTTAGTCCCTTTTAATAATGTTTCTTCACTTTCCACGGATTAATTAATATTATACATACTTTCTTAGAAACATGCAAAATCTATTTTTTGGCCTGATCTCCCGACCCCGCTGTCCGGTGGCAAAATTATCTCTGCCCTACCAAAATATTTAATGTGTAGGAATTAAATCTTAAAATATTTATATTATTCTCAATTTTAATGTTATGCATTAAATTTAAAATATTCAGGCAGTAACTTTGATAATGTTTATCTATTTTTTGGGAGTTAAAATTTATTCAAATATATATCTAAATAAATACACCTCATCGTAAAAGGTATTTAAATATAAATAAAATAACGTTTTTAAATATAAATAGTAAATATCCATGAAAAATATTCAAAAATAGTATATTTAAATCAAAGCTTGATTAAAATTTTTTAAAGATTAGTATTTTTTTCCCCAAAAATTTTGATCAAAAAATCCTTGAAGATCACACAATAGAAGATTTTTTAAAGAAGATTAAAAAATGCTAGAAGAACACACAATAGAAGATTTTTTTTAAGAAGATCAAAAATCTTATTTTAAAAATTTGTGATTTCATCAAAGATTGTTTATGCATAAAAATAAACGAAAAGATTTACTAATAAAAGATCTTTTTTTACAAAAACAATTTGAAATTTTAGGTAAGATTTGATCGGAAAAATTTTCTTAAAAAAAATTAATCTTTAAAAAAGAACATCATCTACTTCCAATTGCATTTCAGCCTATTTAAATACATAATATTTTTCAGAAATAAACTTTTATACCAATAACAATTTTTTTTACTTGAGGATATTTTATTAACCATTTTCTTATGTAAATGATAATTATCTTATGGAAAAATTTGCAGGAATTTTTATTTCAGAATTATATCACAGATCAGTGGCGTAGCTACGAGGGGGAGGGGTTCGGGTTTGGATCCCCCTTCCCCCCAGCAATTTATTTTTAGAATATACGTTCAAAAGACTCAAAAGTGACTTTATATCAAATAAATACCATGAATATTTATATTTTTCTGGTTTTGATGTTTGGGGAAGGATAACTTATGTCGAAATGTGTTATTTTAATTAAAATTAGTGTTGTTAATGGCTCAATTTGAGCCGTTATGGCTAACTCAATATATTAGCCAGAAAATTATGCTAGCCTGAAAATTTTGCTCATGGTTGATAGAAAGGTTTAGACATTATTCGTGAAATCTCTAGGCTTGAGCAATATATTTTTGGCTAAAATATTGAGTTAGCTATTTATAAAAATCGGCTCAAATCGAGCCGTTTAACAACACTAATTAAAATGATCTTCTATGACTTTTATATTATAAGAAAAACAAATATAATTTTTAAGATAAACCCGGCGAAGGCCGGGTAAAAGAGCCGAAGGCCCGTTAAAGGGGCGACCCCAGGCTTTATGTATGGACCCCCTCTAAGGAAAATTCTTAACTACGCCACTGTCACAGACAGATAATTATCAAGTAAACATATGAAACAATTTTAAATAATTAATTGTGCTTTTATTTATTATTGATTTTGGAAGATATTTTGAAGAATCATCTATCACCTAATATGGTTAAATGACATGTAAATGATGTGAAAACCCAATGTAATCTAAGTTATACATCTTTTTCGAAAATTTTTATTTTTTTAATTTCATTTTCTGTAATAACTTTGCTTATTTTTAGTAAATAGGATAAAACAGATAAGATCTATATTCTTTTATCCGGATAACAAAATTAGATAAATTGTGGATTTTACATTTATAATTCAACTTATTATAATAAATTTTTTTTAAAAAATAAAAGAATTTGTAGTATTTCTTTGAAATCACAAATTTCATGAAATATTATTTTTAAAAAATTCAAACTAGATCTCTTACACGTAGGTACAAAGTGTTAATTAAACTAACCAAAATCGCTTTTTACTTTTAAATATAATTAGGCTCAATTTTGTATTTTGATAAAAAATTATACTACCAATAGAAATCTTAATAAATATAGAAAAACACTTATAAACCTTAAAAAAATGGTAAGACTTAAGAGTCACGTAGGAATTGTTAAAATTTTTTTTATAAATTAATACGATTAACAAAATCTCAAAAAATAGCACAATATTATTAAAATTTTTATAACACTTGTAAAGAGGAGCAAAGTTATAAGTGTCGATTGATATACTAAACAGTTCATCACCACTATTCTAAAGAATATTTACTAAATTAGCAGCTGACTTTAAAAAGAAAATGTTATGGGCTAATCCTTATCTCAGCATACTTAGCTTTTTCTAAAAAAAACTCGCAGTCCCGTTTAATGGATAGCTTCGAAAACCAAGGTATAATGATAATAAAGTTTGAATCAAATTATTTATTTTTTTATTTTAGAAATTCTTTCCGATATTTATCAAAGATTCAAAGTGAATGAATACAAAACGATTGCTGAGCTTCGACCAATTTATCGATGAAGATATTCCTTATTAATAAATTTAAAAAATTTCTTAACTCTTGTAAATTTGGCCTTGAAATTATGCATTAAATTTATTATGAATTATGACTCAAGCAAATACGATATATCGAATCACATTTTTATATCGATGCCAATAATTTTGCAATATAAATGACAAATAACATATTTATAATAGTTATATATTCCAATCGCCTATGAGAGAATATGTATGTGTCGTCTATCTAATCATAACTCGGATATAAAAAATTATGCTAGCAGGCATTTTGCAATTGCATTTATTTAATCTTTTTTACAAGTAAATAAAAAGGATATCAAAATTAAATTTTTGTTTATGTCTTTCTTTCTTTCATTCTTTCTTCCTACCTTGCCTTCCTTCCTCCCTTACTATGTCAAGCCTATTTAAATATCAATTATAAAATCATTAAATTTTTAAAAATATTAATAAAAATTTTTTGTAAAAACTTCGTTGTGCGGATACAAATTTGTCATTTGACCCTTTGAAGTTTATCTGCGGAGATGAACCTGTAACCGTCCATAATTCTTCTTTACTTAGAATCGACTTTTTACATTTGATTGCGCCTTCATTCCCAATGGCCGTGAGATATTTACCATCTTTGTCCCTAAATGCTAAGTACCCCTGCACATAGATCAAGAAAAATAAAGCCTGACTTTGTATTTTTTTTATATCTGCCGGGATAGATTTTCCGTTGGAAGTTAAATAATTACCATTAAAGGTTTTGATGGTATACATAGTTGGATTAAAAATATTATCAACTTTATCGCTCCCATTTATAATGTTAGAATCGCATCGGTCTTGGCTGACCCTTTCTAATGTAAACAGTGATTCTAATCCCCAAGGAATGACATCGCTTAAACAAACCGACTCAGGACAAAACGTTTTGGCATATTTTTGACGATGGATATGTTTTAAATTTATGTAAGGAGGGTGAACTTGTAGATGTAGGCTCCAATATTCCGAAGGATCTACCGGTTTGTTGAGACCCTTCAGGGTGTTATTTTTAGCGTTGGCGGATAAATAATAGTTATGCTTGACATTTAACAGGAGATAAGGGCCCCACCTATCAGCTTTCCATGAATCATCTTTATGAGAGTCTAAGTAGAATACTAAAGCGAATCTTTGTTCTTCGTCAGCTGTGTCAGCTTCGCAGCTCACGTTTCCGAATCTATCGATAGTTAAATAACGATCCATCATCGATTTTAGGTACACTATCGGAGCATCGACGTTATTGACAAGAATTTTGCTAAATGTATCCTCGATCAATTCGGGTATCAGGGTCCAGTACTGCTTCTTTTTAAGGACTATACCAGTCACGTTTAACTTGTACCCGAAATTTTCGGCTGTTAAATATTTCCCATGACCAGAATATAGGCCTATTGTCCAATTTAACAACGAAGAATTTATGAGTTTTATGGATTCTCTTCTGTTGTTGGTAGGGTTGGAAGCTTGTTCTATTTCATTATTAATTACACTATTTCTCACCATATCAAAATAATTTTTCGCTAAAAATAGGTTAAATAAAAATTTATTCAATTATTTTTTAAAAATAAAAATTGGAAAGAAATAAGAATTTAAGCCGTGCTATTTCTATTATAATAATTTTAATTGTTAAATAAAAATACAATAGCTGGTGATCTTGATATTAGTTAATTTTTTTTTCAATGTCCAAATGTCCTTGAAATTCAGAACGAATATATTAATAAAAAAATTATTGAATTTTTTTTTTGAATCTTATCACTACACTTTGAATAATTATTTTTAGGTTAATAAGTAAGAAATATAAAAAAATGGATTTCAAAATTTAAAATAATAAATTTAAAAATTAACTTGATATTTACTACATACTTATTAAGAGATGAAGAGATTATCGGAATAAAAACATCTGTAAAAAAAAATGGAAATTATCATTATATATAATTCAAAAAATATTATTATATTATTTTGCTTTTACCTCTTTTTTTTAGCGAATTACACTTTATTTTTCCAGATTTATTTTTATTTTTATTTATATTTAATATTCAATTAATAAATTATTAAATTTATGTGACAGATTTTATTTATTCTTTTTATAATATAATATTTAAAAATAAATTTTAAGCTATAAAAAACAAATGAGATAAAATCCTATTTTTTCCTTTAGGGCTTGTAATATTTTATAATTATATTTAAAACATTTATGGGCATTTTATTTGCGAATCTGCTATTATAATCAATCTACTAGATATAAATTCAGAAAAAAAAATTAAATTTTAAAGATCTTTAATTTATATATTGCACACAGTGTAAAAAGTTTCCGATGAGATTTTTACTATATTATATATCATACCTTTCTAATTAATTAATTAATTGAGGGTAGGATTAAAAATAAGAAAATGAGTGAATATCTACCATAATGCCCAAATATTGTGTGTTACTCTCAAACATGTTACCTAGAACATTCTAGATAACAACTCCCATAATTCCTTGGGATGAATGTCTCATATCTTCAAATCGTTGCAACGACCAGCAAAATTGGTGTAGTAATACAATAATAATATACTTATTATTTATTCTAGGTTTTAAGCTATAAGTTGTTCCCAAGATATCTTTTTTCTTTAAAAAATGATGAATTTAACAAATCATGATGAAATTAATTTAGTAGCAGGCGTCGTTAGCTTTTATTAGCTAGGCTTACTAAAGGGCCATTTTTAGAACCTCCCAAATAAAGTCAAAATATTAGAATTTAATTGATATTCGACGAACGAGGATTATTATTCTCAAAGAGATAAAATATAGTAAAAGAATTGTTATTTTATAACTAATATGTTAAGCTTAAAATGCATTGGCGTAAACAAGGGGGAGTGGAAATTTCACACCATTTGCAAATTTGTTGATCGTATTATCATTTTAGTATAATAAAAATCTTCTCCTAGCATTTCCTTTGCCCTCTCTCCTTAAAAATTGAATAAGGAGAGGGGAGGATGGGATAGGAGTATAGAGGATAGAAGAGAAGAGAACAATATGTGTTTATATTATATAAACCCCATATTTTTAAAAAATTAATTAATTATTTTAAAATATAAAGACTAAATAGACAATAGAAAACTTTTGAGATTAAAATATTTTCTTTTTCTTCAAATGATGAAAACCCAAATCTTAATAAAAATTTAATCAGGTCAAGTTATTCATAAAGGGGGCCTAAAATGTCTAATAAAATAATATGGCATACCCCTTTCATTACGAAAATCGCAAATGTTAAAATAATTAAAGTCTACCTTATAAAAGGTTTAATTACATGTATCGAATATGATATATTCATATTCAATTCAATACAAACTTTTTATTTATTTTATTATTTAATAGTAGCCACTTTTCACTAAAGATCAATTAGAACTTGTTAAATTCTGGAATTTATTAGAAACAAACCTAATCCTAATGAAATCGAAGTTTTTGTAATGGAGACCAGAGAGGGTTTTTTATAGGTAAGTTTATGTATCACTTCCCTGCCACCACGTGTTTTGATCGCTGTTTCACCTCGATGCCACTCATGTCTTGCCTGATAAATCATGGTTTTTAGATACAACTCTTAGATTTACAATAAAACCTAAGGGTATATATTTTCAAAAATTAACGATTTATAAAAAGAAAGTAAGTATGAGAGATTCATATGATATGTTTATGGCAATGATATAAGCATTGTAAAATGGGACGATAGCAGTGCTATTTAAATTGTTTTGACTGGTTTTGGAATAAATCAAGTAGATACTTCTCGGAGATGGTCTTATGAAAGAAACATATGTGAATATGTCTAGTCCTAATGAGTGATAAACGAAAAGGGGTGGGTGGATAACTAGGATAGAGAAATATCGTATCTATGATAAATGGATACGATTTGGGTTTGGTATTTTACCCTAATCAATTTTAATAGCGATTGTGTAGATTTAAATACTGCAAGAAAGGACAGTAAAGACAAAGTCGTCAATCGTAGGAAATAATTGGCTTACCGTTATTTTAAGAGATTTCTGAATTATTAATTTATATTAATAAAGAAAAATATTATTCTTCTGAATGTTCGGAGATGTATTTGTTTCGATCTCTTCCGTTCATTTTAGGCCAAATGAAACTTCCCACCTACCAGTATGTGTGTTACGTTGTCTTTATAATTCCAAATTGTAAATATCTAACATTCATTAAACTGTGAAAGTTGTAATTAAGTAAGTTTCCATAGTTTTTTTAAAATAATTTTTATAAAATCTAATAAATGTGTCTGAATATTTTTCTATAATATCAAATATGAATGTACATGTTATAATTAATTATACAAGATATTTTAATAAAGAAAAAAGATTAAATTTATCGATATTTTAATGAATTTTTAACATTTTTGATCAAAAATTTTTTTAATTTTAAATATTCCTATTTTTCAGAGTTCAGAAGAAGAGAGGTTTTATATTTAATTATGAAGCGGTTCAAAGGAAATTGCCGTTTTACAAACGCAATTTATTTAAATTTCTATTCTTTTTTATTTATCATCACATGGCCTGTCAGGTTATTATTCAAGTGATTGAATTTTATTAAAAGCAAATAAAACCCTAACCTTACCTATATCTCTCAGATTTTTAAATAACCTTAATCCATACCTTCCTATCCTATCATTTTTACTCCTTACTTCAGTTACTCTTTAAAATTTAAATATATTTCATCCAGGCGTGTACGCAGGAATTTGGTCGGGGGGGGGGGGGGGTAATAAAATTTTTTAAGAAATATTATTGTTTTTTAAAAATATCAAGCATAAATTTATTAGGACTAATAACTATTTCTAATACACAATTTCAAATTAATGTGAATTATAAAAAAATTATATGTAAAGAATCACTTAAATGGCCCAAAATAGAAATTTGAATTTTTTGAGCCTTTACACAAAAAATTTCTTAGGAATAATTGTATTTTGTATGTTATATATTTACAATGTAAAATTCAATCTTCGTTGGGATTGAGATAATTTTTCAATTATCTCATCCTTGCTTGTTGTCAAATGCCTATGAATATTCAAAAGATCCAAATCTTTCAATCTACTTTCAGATGTTGTAGTTCTTGGTATGTTTTTCAGAGACCTGCAGGCCCGGCCTCCGGGCTGGACAGTATTTTAATTTTTTTAAAAATCACCCGGGCCGGGCCTGAATTTTAAAAAAAAACACCCAAGCCGGGCCTAAATTATTTTTAAAAAAACACCCAGGCCAGGCTGTATTTTTAAAAAAAGCCTATATTTAAAATCTTTATTATTAGCTATAAAAATCAAAAATAAATATAATTTATTTTAAAAAAATCCGGGCCTGGCCTGAATTTTTAAAAAATAACCCAGTCCGGGCTATAATAATCTTTAAAAAAAATCTGGGCCGTGCCCTGCAAATGGTACTTCTGCAGGCCTCTGTTAATCTTCTTTAAAAAGAGAATGTTCTTTCATTAGTTTAATAATGGGAAGTTTATAAACCCTTTTAATACTTTGGGAATTTATTCTAAAATGTGTTTGAAATAATGCAGAGCATCCATAGCATTTTTTAGGACTATATCAACCATAGTTAATCTTATAAACATAGTTATTTAACTAGTAAGGCATCATAAGATACTTTAACATCTTCATAATAAAAATCTAACAAATATTTTTTTTTCTATCACCATCTCAAAAAGGTTTGGAAGGCTTTTGTGGAAGTAATATTTTCAGATTAGTAAGTGCTGCATGATCAATTAAAAATTCATTTATTTGGGTTATAAATGTATCTGTATCTAAGATATACTCTTCTACTGATCCTATATTAATGCTTTAACGATGAGCTTGCCTTACTACAAGTCGAGGGAGACAAATATGAAACACGTATAGCTCTGCTTATGACTCAACAATAAAATATAAAATATGAAATTCTTCATCAACATTAGCCCTAATTTCCTTGAGTTCTGATAAAATGCTCTCCGCTATTCTCATCTTCTTAATCAAGTAATGTCATGTTTTTGAAAAGTAATACTTAAAATAGTTGTATAATTAAATAATACATTCTAATGAGAAATAAAATTTGGAATAAGCATTGAATCCAATAATTTTCTTGCTGAGGAAATATTTCTTTCAGGCCCTTGTGATATTTCAGTAATAGCAAATAATTGGCTCTTCTAACTTCTTAAAAGCTGTTACTGCTTATGGCAGAGACTATGTATCGTTGGACAAGGTTGCAATTTATTTTTCCCTGTTGGACAAGAAGTTTCAGAAATAATTATTATTTGACTAGAAATTTGAAAATGGTAGATAAATATTACGCCAATAAAAATTTGAAAATAATACGTAAATATTACGCCGGAAAACTTGAAATCGAAATTAATTGATAAAATAACTTATACATGTGATAATAAATGTAATTAAATATATATTTAATATGAGATACGAATAAATATTAACAAATATAAATTAATATAAACAATAATATTTTTAAAAAATATATCCGGCATCTGCATTTTTTGGCTTGGGGGGGGAGAG